GTGTTTCTGGGATCTTCCCCGATTTCTTGGCAGTCTACGGTTTTTCTCTGAATTGCAAGTGTTATTCACTGATCCTGTTCCTCTCTACTATGACAATCAAGCAGCAAACCATATTACTGCTAATCCCGTGTTTCATGAGCACACAAAACACATAGAGATCAATTGTTATTTTGTTCGACAACATTTTCAGTCCAAGCTTTTGATTCCTCGCTTTATTTCTTCTCAAAACCAATTGGCGGATTTTTTCACTAAAGCTACGGACTGTGATCAGGTTCATACGTTGTTGAAGGAATTATCATCAGCTTTAATTTGAATTTTTATTTTTTCTTTATTTGAGCTTTGATTCAATATATACAAATCCTTAATTAATTGGGTACGATCAGAAATCCGGAACAGTAAGTGAGACGGAAACACCAATATCTGAAACTCCAGGGACTTAAACTGTATTTCCTTGCGTACTAGATTACTGGCACTGCTGTCAGTTGTCGGATTTCTTCTTCTTCCAGGTCCCGACTTCATTTCTGCCAAAACGAAAATAAAGAAGATGAAATTCTCTAAACAATCCAAAACTTCAATCGTTTTAACGATATGGGTTCTACTTCTCTTGCTTGTTTCTTCCAATGGTGTTTTAGCTAAGAAGTCGCGCCATCCGATCAGTGTAAATCCTTTTCTTGAGTTCTCTTAATTCTTGATGGGCTTCAAGGTCTGATCTTTACCTTATTCTTGTTCATGTAATTTTCTTTATAGGATAATGAGATTAGAGCGAAGAAGAATAAGTGCTATGAAGACATCGAGAGGTAATTTGTTTTTTCCTGAAAAATTTGGCACTCGATATCCTGGCTTCAATGCTTTGTAATCACAAAATTAGCAATTTTTTGGAGGATTGGAAGAAGCAAATTTTTTTGGGTTTACCTTGGGGCTTGTCTAATTCTGTTGCTGTTTATTGGATTTGATGGGTAGTGGATTATGGGGCCAGAGATGTATGTCTTCGAGGATAGCAAAGGAGAATTGTGCCTTAAGATGCCTCTCACCAATATGTTATGAGCTCGTTTATGAGAGTGATCCGGTAAGGCTACACTCTATATCATGAAGTCTACTATTTTCTATTTATTTCTTAAAAGTAGGTTACTTGAGGGGACTGAAAACAGAGAAAGAATCCTCTTTGATTTTTGTGGCCTGAAGAACTTGTTGCAGATGTATGAAAGTGTGTATTTAAATCCCAAGTTAGTAATTTTGAATGTGCTGCTTGCGTTTCCCTATTGAGTTTCATTCTTTAGTTGCAGTATCTATTGTGCAAATTATGTTGTCTATGATGCTAAATTTGATTTGGAATTTTTGGATTTAATCATTTCAGTTGGAAGAAGGAGAGAGGGACTTCACCAGGAGTCAAGAGTACAAATACTGCATGCACAAGTAAGAATCAAATACTTCAATCTTGTAGCATGTATATCTCTGTGTTGCTTTTGGTGTCTTTCCTTTAATTATTACTTTCGATGATAATGCTATATGATGGAACGCAGAGACTGGTGATTAGAATGATGATATGATTCTATGTTATTGTGGGCAGAGGGCAGAGAATCCGTGAAGCATAGCAAACCTAAGATAATAGTTTGATGATCTTATCATTACTGGGCTCCAAACATGATTAGTTTCATGGAGATAAGAGAATGTAAAATTGCCGGTTATTTTTTATGAACTTTCTAGTCGGTCATATGTTATTTGCCCATTTTAATGAATCCATGATTATAGAATGAAAAGATTCTGCCGGGAGAAAGGGTTCCCAGTCTCCATTCTGCTAAGGGTGTCCACTTCTAAGTGCGGAGATGAAAGGTCTGTAGATGATTATTGATGCAATGATCCAGGGTGAACTGCATTATCGAATATATTCAATAGGATTAGAGTTTTCACTTATGAGTTGCTGAGCATGAGTAATTGGAAGGATATGCTTTATAAGATCAGAAGGACCATAAAATGATTTCATGGGCCTACAGGTTGCAGGAGATTGTAAATAGAAGTTTCCTATAAGAGAAGCATCTTAAGTAACTTAATGATCTCTTGAGTGTGAAGAGGCAAATTGATCTATAAGCTTGACCCGGGGTGCAAATATCCTGCATTTAGATACCAAAATTAGTTTGGTTAAACCTAAAACATTATGTCGTTGTGTTTGCTGTTCTCAAACATAATCTCTTTTTTTCTGGCTTTGTACTGTCACATTTCCCTTTGTATCTATATATATAAATATATATATATATATATATATATATTTCACATTATTCTGGCTATCCATTGATTTTTGTTTATTATTGTTACTTTATTTTCTGTTCTTGAAATCTTATTGTTTTGGGGATGGCATTCCTGTGGGTAGTCTTTATGAACTTGAGTTGTTTTCCACTGGGGCAGGGACTCTTTAGGAGAGAGCTTGGATGGAATTAGAGGTGTATTTGACTAATGTTTGGAAGGTCAAAGCTCTTCAATGGCGATCGTGTTACCTGTATCTTGAATCTGTTCAGCTTGTTTTGGCAGTTATGCTGTTGTCAAAACTCATGCCTGGTAACAGAACAAGATAACTAATGGTTCAGAAGGCAGACATAGGTTATTTTCTTTGCCAGTATCAAATTAGGTTTTCACTCGCCATTATGTGAAAATGGTATTGACTGTGAGTCAGGCTTTTGTCAATTACTCTGATGAATATGTCATCTCTAGAGTGTTGTAATATAGTGCGAGAAAAGTGTTACTGTTAATTTTCTGCGCGTGATGGAAAGGTAATAGATCTTTTACTTTTTTGACTTCAAATTAACTGGTAGGATCAAGATTCAAGCATGATTTGGGACGAAGATCAATGTACACATATTGTCTCCTCTAAATCTTGGGATGCATTCAGTCTTCTGAGATTCATACTTTTATTTGACAGTGAACTGTCTTCATTTTGATTTTTCTCTATATGAATCTATAATATTATGATAACTCTGCATATGCGTGATTGGGTGGGACAGAGAAGCTTAAAAGAGGAGAGCTAACTCTTGTACAACCACTGAGCTCTTTAGTCTTTACTCATTTCCATATAAATTTTATTGCGCGGTTTGATTGTTGGATATGTATATTTCGATACAAATTACATTTTTATTGTTGGTAGGTCGGGTGGAAATCTATAATGATACGAATCACATCCTTATTGTTCAAAGGGTTGGACGGAGATTTGTAATCGCAAGATTAAGTTCGAATATTAGATGGAGAAAATCCAAAACATGTAGTATAAGAAAATAAAAAAATAAAAAAAGGGTAGGGATTCGAGCCTTTAACAATCAACAATCGCCACTCTATAAAGTTGAGTCTTGGAAGATTTTCAGTATATGCAAACATAAGGGCCGTAGGTGTAAATATAACAAATAGTTATTATGGACAAAACGTACGCTTTTATCATCCTTTTTCTAGTAATCAACTAAACTCGTCACATATTGTGGAAAGCGTGCTCTTGTTAAACCCAAGAAGAAAAAGCTATTCTTTCACTGCGCAACACCGCTAAAACCTCCTTGTATGGCAACAGCCTCTTCATCGGCAGCGAAACCCTCAACCTCCGCCCCGGTCGCCGCCACCTCTGTCTCCACTTCCACCGCCGACTCCCACCAGGATCTCCATAGGCAGGCAAGTATCTAGCGTTTCTTTCCTTGCGCTTGAGCAGCGTTTCAAGTGGCAATTTCTTTTTCATTTACTTATTGGTTTATTTTTTGCCGGACTTTGGTGGTGTTGTTAGAATCTTGAAATTTATCGGTCACTGGATGAAAAGATGGTAACTGATTCTTCTTTTTTTTTTTGTTGCTTTTGTTGGAAAGCAGATAAGGAGTCACGAAATCGCCATAGCAGAGCTCAGTGCTCTTCATTCTTCGCGGGTAGGTATTGCGGGTTAATATTTCCTCAATCGTTAATTACGTTTGACAGTTTTTGTTTAGTACTTTATGATTCTTTGTAAGATGGCTCCTTGGAGATATTGCATTGGCTATTTAAGAAGTTTAAGCTCCATCAGATCGGAATTTGATTGAGAAGTTTTCGCTAGGAAGCCTTTATTTTTCATTTTGTCTTTTTGGTGGATGAAGCCATCATGGAGTCGGAGCCATTGGTTACTGATATTACTTAGTGTTCTGTAATGTATAATTTGCCGTTTACTCTTGCCATAAGATTGACATGCTAAGAGGTGTTTGAAGACCTGCCATGGTTAAAATTTTGTTGACTTGAGCCTTGATTCACATAAGTATCGTAGATTAGGTTTGGCCCATGATTGTAAGTTTTTATTATATATACACCTATCTCTGTATTCGTAGATTGGGTTTGGCCCATGATTGTAAGTTTTTATTATATATACACCTATCTCTGTATTTCATGAATTTGATAAGTATATACGTCTAGAGCTCAATGAGTAAAGTTTGTCTTTGGAAATTAGTAAAAGCCTTTTAGGTTTTATCCATTTTGGTTTTTATTGTAATCTCTTTCAACTGAAGATACAGTTCGAGGCAACTTCTCTTATTCAGTTTTTAGGCTTAGTTCAGGACCATTTGCACCAGAGGTTATTTTATGCAACTGAGGTTAAGGTATATTTAGAGTACATTTCTTTAGTTCTGCATTCAAAGGGTGTTGAAGTTTTACAGTAGCTTTTCTTTTTCTTGAAAGGGTTTCTTATCCAGCTTCCTTCTATTTGTTAGTGATTGTTCTTATGGTCTTATTCCAACCATGCTTTTTGTCCTGGTGTTAGGGTGTGTACCAGAAACGAGGAAATTTATTCTTCCGTACGAGTGCAGAGAAAGCAAAAGCTTCCCAACAAAGTAAGATTGTATAGTCAGTTTCCTATCTCCACCATTTTAAAGAAGTCACTGTAATTTTTCCAATCTCTCATTGTTGCGTATTATTGTCCTTCAGAACAGTTGGATATTGCCAGAGTCAAGCTGCAACAGCTGTGATTGAGAACAATCCCCATATACAAGACATTCTAGTACTTTGAATTCTGAAAGATGGCATTAAGAGGTGCTTGGCAGTTGAACAAACTGATAGTGAGTTATTGTGATTGGGGAGGGAGCAGCAGAGGCATTAGAGCTTTTATGGAATCTCATTTGCCAGCATTTAAAGAGGTTACTCCCCATCTTGAGGTGGTAACCGAGTGTAATCGTGGTCAGCATCCTTATTTGAAAGGTTTATACAGGAACAAGAATGAGAGAGTTGTATCTGTCAAAAATATGACTCCTGAGGACATACTACTTTGTGCGACGAGGCTGAGGAATTCACTTGGAAGAAAGGTGGTCAAGATGAAGACCAGACATGTTACCAAGCATCCTAGCGTGCAAGGTACATGGACGACAGACTTGAAGCTCAGCTGAGAAAAAAGAAAGTGGTTTGGCGTTTACCTGATGCTGCTTGCAGCCATTCGGAATAAACTGATGTAAACATTGATTGGAGTATGTTCCTGAGATATTGTTCGAGTAGAATCCCTTTGATCAATATTGTTACTTTTAGTTTTGTTGGAGTACTTTCCTTCTTATGATATATTTCTTTTCCAAGGGTTCTTTTGTTGCATCCTTGAGAGGACATGCATATGAAAGGAAAAGTGAAATCTCTAAATGCATCTTGTGTTTTAGAATCATCAACTCTTCTACAGTCTCCTTTAAATCTGAATGCAGGAAAAAGATTACGGTTGCTTTGCATTTCTGGAGTGTCCTTTAAATATGCTTTATTAACAATTTTGAACCGGGAAGGCAAAATATACTTGAAATTTTGTTTCAGAACTGTGTAAAAGCTACAAAAAGTGAACTGTGAAAGTCGATTTTAAGCTCGTGGTTGGAATACATTTCATACTGCATAGTGTGAATGAACATAAGAAACTTGAACCTCTGTAACCTAATAGTATCCCCCGAAAGTTGTGAAGCGCCATCCGAGCCCAACTTCTTATTTATTTACACGATAAAGCAACTAAAGAATAAAGACACGGGACGTGGAATTCCTTCTTTTTCAGTTCTCATAGGCTGCCTTCTGGAGGGCAACAACCACAAGTGTCACAAGAGATGCATAAACTGAATTCGGAACTTTCTGCACCACCTTTCCGATCCCGGGAACACCTTCGGTAGACCTCTTTGTCATCAAAGCAACGGCCGGTGCAATAGCCAGGGTGATGATCAAACCCTGACTGACGGTAATGAATGTATCTTTCGTTAGTCGTTGAACAAACTTGACAAATTCTTCACGATCGAGTTCCCCGTCAAGGTTGATGTCACACTCCTGTATAAAGTCAATCAAGTTCAGGGTCAGATGAGACAATTATCAACACAGTTAGGAGAAATGGTTATATCTTTCCTCTTTTTGAGATGATCTCTTTAATTTGGCTTCAGTTATTGTGGTTAGCTCAATTTATATTTAACTGTCAAAATCAAATGGACTACTTGTTTGATTTCTATGAATTGAAACAGTGCACATCAATCAGTCTGAACTTTTAGAGAGGGAAGAACTAAAGCCTAGGTCGCAACAAAGACACATTGTATCCTAAGCTAAACGTTATGGGCACTTGAAAACTATCCATCACTATTTTGGCGGGCAGCAATAATAAGTATTTACAGGCAGACAGTAGAAAAAATACGGAACTGAGAGTAGGAGTCAAAAAGAAAAGATCCAAAAGATGGCACATAAAAATCTGAGTTACCACATGTCTCCCAATCTGTTCAGCTCCAAATTTCCAAAAATTTACAAGCAAAATTGTACAGAAAATGGAACATGGTGGAATCTAATACGATCATTACAACTGGAACATGGTAGAATCTAATACCTTCATTGAAGCTATAGTCACAGAGCAACTGTACATTGGTAACATTGCTCATGATATTTCTAACATGCAGAATGATGAATTAGTGACAGATTTGTCCTTACTCAGAGATGCAGCACAATAACATCAGAATTGCATTATGGGCAGACTTATTGAATGCAAAAATAATTAATGCTGCAACTACCAGGAGCTAGGACTGATCACATCTCAATTATTTGCAAAAAATAATAAATAGTACAAAAGAAAATATATGAAACCCTAATCAGCAAGATGTAGCTGTATCCAACATAAATAAGATAGTGTTTTAAGATTATAACACACACCTCTATTATAGCTTTGACGTCCTCTTTTGAGGGGGGGTCAAAATGAGGTCCAGGCAAGCGCTTATTGATATCACTGAAAATATCAGGAATTTAAATATCATGAGAAAACAGATTTTATCCACTGAATAAACTAAATGCAACTAATGAGTGCATTTTGGGGAAATGTATTACTTGAATACCAGAAGCACAGCTATATAAAGGTCTTCAAATGTCAAGTTTGCTCTTCCAGTGTCATTCTTGAAACGATCGTACACCTTGTCTGATATCTTGTGTATTTGCCTTTGTCTCCAATCCTTACCTGCAAAACAGAGGGAATTTTGATCAAGGTACATTTTTCAACATCCTCGAATAGTTGGACAAAGAAATTTGCCTTAACACCGACAGACTGATTCTCAAGAAAAAATTGATATATTGATGGCTTAAATGTTGCTTTTATTTGATAATAGCTTTAGTTCTAGTAGAACCATTGCATGGATGATAGCATCACATATCTAAAATTTTCTTCTACTAGTAGTAGGTGAAGGTTTTGGTCCCGACAATTACAGGTTACAAGATTTAAATACCACAGTTTTTGCAACTATCGTTAAAAGTATGTCAATTTGATCATACACGCTAGGATGGATACTCACTTCCACAGAAAAGCACAGATACAACAAAATGACATCTCAACCTCTCGTTCAAAGTTTCCTATAGGCCTTGAAGACCTCTTTAGATCCAGAGGACAGTAACTAGAACCTCAGCAGAGGATGCAAGAAGAAAAATTCCCTTCGCCAAAGAAGAAAAGAATGAATTCCAGAAACAACATCGAATATCTATCATTTTAATCTGAACAAACATGTTGCTCATGATTTTCAGAGCGTTAAGTGGAAAGCGAGGAGCGAAAAAAAGGTTCTTAACTTCATACTGTCATTCATGACACAAGAAATGAGCCTGACAGTATTCCATGAAAAAAAAAAAAAAAAACTAGAAGAAAAGGTTAGAACACCGTCAATAAACTCAATTAGACAAGTCAGAAACAGGAATAGTGATAAAGCAATATGATCTTGTTAAATTAGTCAGGTAACTACGAAAACAGAAACACGACGTCCGCAATGTCTCATCTGTAGATGGAAGAAAATCATCACCATCAGCAGCAACCATTTAGTGCAAATGGTAGTCCAAAGTTTCAAACCCAAAAGTTATTTGGTAAGATAGAATTCAAATGTTTTAAAGCCACAAAAGGAAGATTGAAATGAAGCAAAGAATTGAACAGCCGTTCACTGCTAACTTTAAGTTCAACTTTCATTCTACCAGTAATAGCTTTAACATTCCACCAGTGACAAATTCTATGAACGTCTGAAACTTCGAACTCCCACAAAAGATAAACCAAATAACCTAACCAAAAAATCCAATAATTTTCTGTGCGGTCATGTCATTCCCTTATTGAATGCAAAAACCAGAAGAAGCCATTAATCAATTCGCAACGTATGTTCCACAGAGGAAAAATCAATCACAAACTCACCTCTCAAAGTCAGATACCAAATACCCAAAACAAGGAAAAACAGAGCGGGAGAGAAGAACATGGGTTTATCAAATTCCAAAACATCCCAGATGTAATAGTTCAAATTTTCACCAAACCCGGCCATTTTCAATACGATCACAAACTAAAAAGAACCACCAAATAGTGCCTTAATTCATTCTTAAATACAAGAACATCCCAAGAAAACACACAAAGCAGCGAGTCTTTTCGTCGCAGTCATTCCGTGAAAGATTCGATTGAGAAAGCAACAGAGAGAGATTTCTTTACCTTGAATTTTGTCAAGAACTTGTCCCATGATTGTTTCTAAAGGCACTGAAAAAGTTTGTAATCAAATTGTTGGAGAAGATTTGGATGCCTCTCTATTGGATTTGTGCTTGCTGTTTGAATTGGATTATATCTAATCTAGGCGGAGGAAGCGTGTGATTCGAATCAACTTCACGTGAGTTTGTTTGTCTAGTATCTTGAGCTTTTGAATTATTGAATTTTTTTTAACCAATCGCATCCAAATATTTAATAAATGTGAATAACAATCACATCCAAATATTTTTTCATGAAATATGGTGAAAATATGAAAATCAACATAAATAGAAGACGATTGTGCAATTTACTCAATAATTTATTTACATATAAGTGATGATTTCAGTGAACGTTACCAACAAAACAAGTGATAGTAGTAATAATGATGATAATCACAAAAAAGGAATTTTTTCCTTAAATATATTTCCTTATATATACCTGTAAAAAATAAACCTTTCAAAAATTTTGTGGATAAACTTATATGTCCCGAATTTAGGAAATCCGAATGGGAGTAAAACTCAGATTTCGGAAATCCGAACCTCAATAAACTCGGATTATAAAAATCCGACTTTGTGTTACGTAAATCCGATATTAAGTTAATGACAGAAATTAGTGTAATTAATCTAAATTCGGATTTTATAAAATCTGCATTTACGAATAAAATATTAATTTTCGGATAGAAAAAAAATGTGTTGAAAAATTAAATTTGGGAAAAACTGGATCACGGTAATCCGAATATGCGTAGATTCGGATTACCGAAATCCGAATCTCCTCTGTTTTCTAAAAAACAGGGACTCTCAGTTGGCTACAGACTCGAAGTTCCGAAATCCGAATCCTTTACAAAAAGTCTGAGTTCGGATTTCACAAATCCGAGTCTTTGTCAGAACTGAAAAAAAAATTGGACTGGCTTTCACCAGTCCTAAACCTGTTTACAGCACCAACAACAGTGAAACATTGGAAAACAGAAATTTAATGGCAACAAAACAATAAACGGCATTCGATTAACAACAAAACAAATCAAGTTTCATACCAAAATCAATACAAAAACTACTTTCATTGTGCAAAATACATCAAATGTCTCATTTTTTCCCTTTTCCTTTATTGTGCACATCCGGAGTGTATTTGTTTGAGCCCTGCCGGATCCTGTCTCCCCTCTTAAGATACGTGAGTATTGAACTCTGTTGTGGTTGCGACACTGTCCACCAAACTGAGCCTCAGGTTGGGGTTGGGATTGGGACTCCCCCATGGTGAGAAATTTGACTCTCGGTTGTGGTTGCGACTGTCCACCAAACTGAGTCTCAGGTCCACCAAGGTAAACTGAGTCTCGGGTCCACCAGCATCTTCAAAATGAGTCTCGACCTGAATGCGCGAGCCTCGAGAAGAATGTGCTTGATCCTCATTTTGTTGACCCTCAGTTTGTTGTTGCGATGTCCGAGGGGGGATTGTGACCTTCCTCTTTCTTCCTCCTCCAATCTTATCTCTCGACCACGGTCTCGCTTTTTTACCCGGCGGAGGTTGTGAGGGCAAAGATGGATCTTCATCAACCAGGATTTGGGTATCCTCCACCTCCATCTCATCATTTGCGCCCAGGGTTAAAGCAGCATGTGTTTGATTGATGATATCGTCCAAATGCTTATCGAGTTCTTCGTCTAGGGGATTCTCATCTTCTCGTTTTTCTCTAAACTTTTCGGTACTTACGCGAATGCTGTTCAATACTTCACCCTGAAAAGAAATTGAGACGTTAATTAAGAGAGTAAAATTCTAAAAAAATAAAAATGAAAAAAAAAATAAAATGAAAACATAAGAAATAATAAAAGAAATATAGAATGTACTCACATATAATTTCACGCGGCTCGAAGAAGTCTCGTATCCTTGAGGTTCATAATTATCGGGATTGGATATCAGTCTGACAGTGTTCACCATGAACCATTCATAGTACCCCTCATATACGGAACCAGGATCTCATTCCTCCAAATCTCGTAGCACGTGCTCTTCTCTCCTATTCCAATAACGACGTACTGCGGAATGGTGGTCCACCCAATTATTGCTAGGATACCCAGACATACTGTGGGCGTGATCGAGAAGGAATGTTGCGTTATCTTTAATCATAGGGCGCTTAGGAACATCCTGTATGTATCCAAATTGTCTTACGACTCTGCCCGACTCGTGAGGTTCCCTAATAGCCCAACAGAACATCCAACACCTGGTCGTCCAAATGGCTTGGCCTTGTGTACAGAAATCAGGGAGTCTATGAAGGACATGTGCATATGGTTGCCACCGAAACTGTACGAAAAGAATTTCATTAGATGGTACAACCGGAACGAAAAGGAAGGGGTAATTGATCTCAAAGTAAATATAAATACCCTATTACAAGTACTTACATCTTCAACACGCAGGCTTGTTAATTGATCTCTAAAAGGTGGGGTGCTGCTCCTTGGGGCATCGCCGTAGGTGTACCTACATTCCCACCTTAATGAACAAAGGGGTACATTTGAATTAGTGAAAAAAATAAATAAGAAACAAATAGAAATAAACATTGAGTTATTTTGAACTGAAAATACGTACCGCTGAGCTAATGAGCGGTCTCATCAATCAAATAATCTACTCCTTTTCTTTGTGGCGCGATCCTCTAGATCCGCTCATACGTCCATACCTAGTAAATTGCAATAATAATGTTAAAACTTCAAATTATAACGTCGAAAGCGGAAAATTATTAAAACACAAAATGAAAACTAATACATACCTGTAGCAAATCATTCTTGATCTTCACTACACGCCTACCACCGGGACTATCGAAAATCAAAGAAAGGTGGAGTTTCACGTGTGCTGGATCCCAACCAAGTGTCATACAAATCTTACTAATCAATCCCTCATATGACAACTTTTTTTCAACAAACAAACCATCATTCGGCATATTCGAAAAAGTGTTGATACTACCGTTCTCTATCACATACTTACTTGTATGATACAAATTAAGCATGTATGATACGTTACGTGCCATTGATAACTGTTAAAAAAAAACATCAATAACTAATCCTTTCTTAATAACAAAATCAACAAATACACCATACATACTCCATTCATAATTCAAAAAACCTATAAAATACTAAAATACTTATAAATCAACTTCGATATCTCATGAACAACTATGATTTCTCATCTCTAACCTCAAAATCAACACCTAAAACATCCAAACAACCAACCAACAAAAACCCTAATCTTTCATAACGATCTATCATTCTAACAATCAAAATAATATAAAACTAAACTAAATAAAATAACACAAAACTAAACTAAATAACATGGTTTTGCAATCTAACCTCTTTCAAATAACGATTCCCACGTATCTAGAGGCAAGAATGCATCAAAAGCTCCAATTCGCCCTTGTTTGAGCTGCAAAAACAGAAAATCCAACTCAGTTCTCGAATGAGAACTGTCTGAATTTTTTTTTCTTTTATAGCACGTTAAACTCGGATTTACGAAATCCGAGTCCGTAAGTAACTCGGATTTTTGAAATCCGAATTACATTAGCCTCGGATTTCATGAATTCGGATTTGGTCAATTCCGGATTATTTAATTCATTTTTTGGTCCTCCAATTTCACGCCGCGATTTTCTTTTTTTTTTCTTTTTTCTTTTCTGTACACTCGGATTTTGAAAATCCGAGTACTACTGTTTATTTAAGGAGTCCAGGTCCTGGACTCCTTATTTGAGTTCAAATTTTTCGCGCCTCAATTTATTATTTTTTAATTAAATTCGGATTTCGCAAATCCGACCGGCGCTGTTCATTTAAGAATTTTTAAAAAACTATTATTCAACAAAATTTATTTAACTATTATTTTATTAATAAATATAAGCTCGGATTTACGAAATCCGATTCTTTAATTTTAATTAGAACTCGGCTTTCGGAAATCCGAGAGATATATTCTGTCCACTAATATTCTGAAAAATTCAAATTTGTCAACGTTTATTTTAATTAATTTTTTTTGGGAAAAAGCCCCACAAAAAAAGTACTATATAGTTTAATTATTTATTATCCATCATCCGTACAAGTTTCTGATTTACAAATTAATCCTTCAATTGTTTTTTTTTTTAAATTTTTTTTTATTTTTTTCGGAGGACCAACCTACTTATCCAAAAATCCCAATTTCATCTAATTCAAAGATGGGTAATAGTCTCCCATCCCTGCAAAATCATCTACTAATATTAAGATATTTTTAAATGAGACCACGTGCAAAAAAAAAAAAAAATCTTTTGATTTGGATTGATGTTAAAAAATAAATTTTGACTATGATTTATTTGCACTCGATTAGAATAATAGTACTTCGTTTAGTTGTGACTTTGCTAACTAGTTAACTTTAATTAAAAATAACCAAATAAATACATTGAGTAGTAATAAAACTTACATAATAATTTTTAATGCACGACGAAATTTAACTGCGTGAATTTTTGAAATATTTTATATTTAAATTTAAAAAAATCCCTTCTATCAATCAACACTCTATAAAGTTAGTCAGAAAAGTTTCAGTTTATGCAAACACGAGGGTTCATAGATGCAAATATTACTAATACTTATTGCGGAAGGCTGGTCAAGTATTTATTCACTGAACTCCGTCGGAAATTACTCCTACAGCCCTCTTCATCGTCAGCTAAACCCTCAACCTCCGCCCAGTTCGCCGCCACCTCTGCCTCCACTTCCACCGCCGAATACCACCAGCATCTTCTTACGCAGGCATGTGTTTAGCTTCAATTATCCTTGCGCTTGAGCAATGTTTCAAGTTGCAATTTCTTTTTCTTTCATTTATTTGTTTATTGGTCAGACTTTGGTGGTGTACTTAGAATGTTGAAATGTAATGATGACTGGACGAAAACATAGTGTTATATTTCTTTTGTTCTTTGTTGCTTTTGTTGGAAAGCAGATAAAGAGTCACGAAATTTTCCAATTTTGTTTACACCTTTTTTTCACTCTTATAGAGCAATTATAATTGAAATTTTCATTATCTGGTGAGTAAATGCATCATCAACTAGGTTTTTAAGTCTTAACTGGGGATTTTGTTTGTTAATGATTTTGCCGAAGTACAAAAAGATACCAAATTTCAGTTAATCTGTTGCTGTTTAGTGTTTGTGAACAATTGTTATTTAGGTACATTGTAAGCTTTTGTATTTATTTTCATTTCTTGTATTTTATCGTTGCTAGACTAATTTTGCTTATTAGTTTTAGTTTCTTGAGAGATTTCACCTCTGCTGGACTCGTTATTAGGAACTTATCTAGACAGCTTTCTATTTTTGTTGCACTTACAGTATCTTACGGACTAAGAAGTTTGTGTATATTCCTGTTCTCTTACAGGTTGAGATGGCTCCTTTCCATTTTGATGATGAAATAATTGTTCAGGATGTAGATGTGGAGGGCAAAAAGTACGATAGAGGTATGCTACCTCCTGTATGACTTTTTTGTGGTTCTGATGTATTTCATACATATCTACATTCACTTTATATTGCTTGAAAGTGGTGAACATTTGTAGACTATTCTGGTTGTAATCCTGCTCCCAAACAGTGGTTTTTTGTTCTCGGTCTATGATCTACATTATGTGCATTATGTTTTACTTCTGTCACTCGCTATCTGAGTCTGAAACTATTTAAGAAAATGTTTTGTTGGAATTGTTTGTGTTTATATCATCAGCAATTGTGTCTGCTGAACCTTAAGATAAAATTTCAAATTTCTATTCTGCAGTTTCGCGTATTGATGCAAAGAGTGAAGATGGAAAGATGGACATGCAGCTTGATGTCAACTCTGAATTGTATCCCATGAAGCCTAAGGAAAAGTATAGAATGGTTTTATCTGAGAGTTTGTTTATGGATGGTTCAGCAGTTACAAACTACTTCCCCCCGGTATTCTTTCATTCCTCTTTCTACAGGATTTGTGTCTGTTACCTTGCTTTTTCTGATTCGTGAAATTGCTTATTATGTGTTTCGGTTACTTCATCTTTTTTACTTTTCTAGGGAACCCTTAGATGAAACTGTATGAGAGTATTGGATTGATGCCACAAACTTATGTCTTATTGTATTTAACAAAACTAGCAGTCTTGTATATTAAGTAGTGTTCCATTTTAACTCTCCTTTTGCTTTTGGAGGGGAACTGGGGTTAATTTCCTTGTATTTCTTCAGGATCCAACGTCTTGGTTATCATGTGCTATAATGTGTTTTGAAATTGATAAGGATATGAGGATGTTGAATGTATGTCAGATGTTTCGTTTGGTTATTAAATTAACTTTGGTTTCTAGTCCAACATATTCATCCCCTTTAAGTTGATAGATGCTTATTTATTCCCTAGGTAAAAGTGCCTATTGAAGATAGACAATCAGGAATAGTTGATATTGGCAGGGATGCTATTCTTTATTTTTAGGGGGTTGGAGATTTGTCTAGGGTGGTTTGCCTGAGTTTTATGTTCTTTACAAGTAATGTCTGTATGTTTGCTTAGTCAAATTTTAAAGAATAGAAGCAAATATTGTGAGGGAACTTTGATCTTTTTTGAATAGTGCTGTGAAACTAGCTGATTGAAAGAAACCTGATGAAAAACAAAGAAAGTAAGTTACAATATGGAATATGGAACATTATGGAATATGTTCATATTCATGCATGGTAGGATTTTGTTGGGAGTTACAGGGTTATAGATTAAGAAGCAGTGAGAGGTATTGCTGCTGTAAGACTTGGAAGTTTACTTTTCCTGTTACTCTGATTGATAACTATTTTCTAAGCTTTTCAATACATTTCCGTTTTCTGAACATAAAACTATATGAACTTTGTGATGCTCAATCATGAAATGCATCTGATGAGAGTAAAAGAGTGCAAAGAACGTTTTACAAGTTGATTAGCTTTTTTGTTAGTATCCCTTAGTATAACTCTGATCAATATGGGAAAAGGCTTGTTTTTGTATAACATATCAATGTGGGAAATTTTCAGTTCATCGATTCAAATTTGTTCAAGTACGCCCAACTGCAAAACTAACTGATGCTCCATGTTCTACAATTGCAGCAACAGCAGAAATCGCTCGCAGACAAATTTGAGTATGTCATGCATGGGCTATTGTACAAGATGTCTGAGGAAAAAGGAAAAACTGGTGTTATCAAAGTGTATGTAATTGTTACTCCCACTTGTTTAGGACAAATGTTTTCTTACTTATTTTGATAAAAATAATCATCACGCATACTCCTTGCCATAATGGTTCTTAGACTTGCTTTCTGATCTATTTGTCTGGCCTAATTGATTGAGTTGCCTAATTGATTGAGTTGCTAAATTTGATGCAGGACTGCATATATTTCATTCGGAGGGCTTCAGCTAATGATCACCGGCCCTCCTTCAAGGATGCACAGATACAAGGTTGATCAAAGGCTCTTTTTACTTCTGAAGAAGGAAACCTGCTAATTGCAATCTGGAGATTGTCTTGGCTTTTATGAATTGTTAGTAAATTAATGTAGGGGGGCATCTTGAACCTTGATGATGAATGTAAATGGAAGTCTTAACTTTAACATGGAAGAAGACCATCATGAAACAATGTGGTGCCGTGTTTGTCTGTCGGATATTTTGTCCCAAGACGGACTGTTACCACACTTCATTCTGGGTTGTGCTACTCTTTGTGTTTGTGCCAGTTTAAACTTTGTTGTTGGTCAGTATTTTTCGCTCCTGTTATTAGTTTATTTGAACAACTGAATTCAAACGTAGAGATTATGAAGTATCCAAAATTATTGTCCAGTGTGAGATTTCACTTTTAGTACAATTTGAATTAGAAATAAAAACCAAACTGGACAATAATTATGGGACGGAGGGACTATGCTGGAGGGAAATCATGCATCATATTTCTCATATTACAGGAAGGAATGAGGCAGAAATTTAAGGCTAAAATCGTCAGTAAGAAGTTTGTTTTGAAGGTTGTTTCCTGTTTTTTACCCTAAAGGATAGTTATCCCCCCAAACTCCCTCTGTTTACTAGTTGTGAACTGTAAAAATGCTTGCTTTAATCACGTCTTGATTTAGAAAAAAGATAACATAATACTAAAAAAAATGATCTAATTATGATTTTCCAATACAGAAGCATACTGGTGTTTCATGTGTTCTTCAATCAGCTTTGATGATTTGATGATCAGATTGACTAATATCATTCTCGCCATAAAGCTACTTTTACTTATTTACGAGAACTATTAATTGTGCCTGTGTAAATATAACTTTGCTTGAATGCCAAAACGTCCGGAGAACTGTTTTATGTTCCCATCTACACATTTTCGAAACTGACAAATAGAACAGTTCCAAATTAATCTTCATCTCTGATTATCTTTGTTTTAATTGCCTAAATTATCAAAAAAAAAATAAAAAAATATTGAATGTAAGCAAGTAAAAGACGAATTCATTCGCTAAAGCACATCAATGTGTTCCCACAAATTTTCAATTTTATTGCTCATTGTCAGTTTGCACCCAGCAACCCCGTGTACGTTCTCCTAATGCATTAACTTGACCGTTGATCTATGCCGTTCCACAAAACAATGGCATTACCTTACCGTTTTCCTACCTTATTAGATACTCATTTCTTTCCCCATATAAAGCAAGGTTCTTGGAGCCAAAATGCAAAATAACTTCAAAGCGCAGATCCATTCTTATTACAAAAAAACATGGCAATTAAAGCTGCAGTTTCCCTCTTCGTTTTGTTGGCGCTCGTGGTGGGTTCAAATGCCAGTGGAATCTCCATCTACTGGGGTCAGAATGGAAACGAAGCCAGTTTATCAGAGACTTGTGATACAGGGCTCTATGAGTATGTGAATTTGGCTTTCCTTTGTACATTTGGCAATGGACAAACTCCGCAGATCAACCTGGCTGGACACTGCGATCCATCTGTAAACGGCTGCGTTGGTTTAAGCTCCGACATCAAATCCTGCCAAGCCAAAGGAGTGAAGGTGATTCTTTCCATAGGAGGTGGTGCAGGAAGCTACTATCTTGCCTCTGCGGAAGATGCCAAACAAGTTGCGACTTACTTGTGGAACAACTATTTAGGTGGACAATCATCTTCCAGGCCTCTTGGAGATGCTGTGTTGGATGGAATTGACTTTGATATTGAAGGAGGAACAAATCAGTACTGGGATGTTCTAGCTAAATCTCTTTCGGCTTATAGCAAACTCGGTAAGAAGGTCTACTTGACAGCCGCGCCTCAGTGCCCTTATCCTGATGCCTGGGTTGGTGGTGCCCTTCAAACTGGTCTTTTCGACTATGTTTGGGTTCAATTCTACAACAACCCCCCGTGTCAGTACTCTGGAGACTCGAGCAACCTTGACAGCGCGTGGAAGCAATGGACTTCGATCCCAGCAGGGAAGATCTTCCTTGGGTTGCCTGCTTCTCCAGCTGCAGCAGGAAGTGGATTCATTCCAGCTAACGATCTGGTTTCACAAGTTCTACCAACAATTAAGGGTTCAAGCAAATACGGAGGTGTTATGCTGTGGTCCAAGTACTATGATGAACAATCTGGCTATAGCAAATCCATCAAGAGTGATGTCTAAACATCTCTAAACGCAGTTTCCGTCAGTGCTCTATACATAATCATGTTCTGTGGTTGTCCTGTTTGTTCTGTACAGTGATCATGTGTGTGAACTATGAAAGAGAGCTTGTTTTTACTATTGAATTGAATACAAATTTGTTTTCTTCAGTCTCTTAAACTGTTACATCATCATCAGTAATGCACTTGCAATCCAGTAACCAGAAAGCATAGCTTAAACAAGGAAAGAATCTTCGCACCCGTGTTCATAGGACAGCAAACATACAGAACAGATTAACCAAGATGAACAATCAAAACCAGACCTCTGCAAGTTATACTTAAAATCATAGTACATCAATAAGAATGTTGGTTTTATAAGACACGCAGGACAAAATTTTCGAATCCAACATTGTTTTGAGCTGACTTTAGATTGCATCACCCCGTTTACTCACTCGGTAAGCTTGAGAATTTCACCTTTTCTCAAGAGAGAGAGGGAGTAACGAGCAGCATCAATAAGGTCTTCAATGTTGTGGAGGGATCTTTCTTCAGCACCCAACTCGAACATGACACGAACTTCGGCTTTCTTGGCCAACCTCGCAGCCAAATTTAAAGGCAAAGCAGGAGAGTTGAGGCTCCTTAAAGTATGTCTATACAATGAAATTACTCTTACTCTGTTCCTCGCTAAGTCCTCTGCAGTAGCCCATATCAAACCCTGCGCCATGATCAAACTGAGAAACCTACTTTTCCTGCTAAAGAGATGGGAAATATTAGCGTGGACCATTTTGACAAACAGTTGGCGTGCAATAATAACCAAACAACAACAAACAGCGAATTGATTATAACAGTTCTCATGCTAATTGATTCTCTCGTTGCTGATACAAACTCTCACAGTCGGACATGATCAATTGAGAAACAGTCGCGCTTATATGAATAGGGTTTGACTGAGGATTTTACCGCTCGAGGATATGTTGGTTTGGCCTGGAGACAAACACCTGTTGGTGGGCGCTGGACTGATTCTGTCAGATTCAGGGGAGGCTGAATCCCAGCTGATTTGGAAGAAAAATTTTATCATACATATCAAGGGAAAAACAGATATTTAATCTCGCTTAATTATTTTTGGCCGTTTCAGTTATCCGGTGATCCGGTCAGTTAACAGAACCTTTTCTTCGAGTAAAAAAATAGTACTGCCCGAAATTATTGTCCAATTTAAATTTTTATTTTTGGTTCAGATTATACTAAAACTAAAATATAAAACTGGACAATAATTTTGAGACAGAAGGGGTAATAGTTTTTTTTTTTGGACAAACTACATTAAACTCCTGAACTTTGGTCCAATCTACCATAAACCTCTTGATATACCCCCTGAACTCATAGTCAACTTACAAATTCCCTCTTAACATGCTAACATCATTAATTTTGTATAAACGGTCTAAAATACCCTTCAATTTATATTTTTAAAATTTTACAATTTAAAGGTTTTTATAAATATATCATAAATTGAGATAAAAAAATTTATATTCTGTATTAATTTTTTTATTAATGCATTTAAATATAAAGTTTTTTGAAATTGACTATATCATGTCTTTTGGAATAAATATTTTTCATTAATTAATGTTTATTTGAAGTACAATAAACTTATATTATTAATCATTGATTAGTTTTTATTTTTTAACTTATGTTGCAATTAAATGTGACAATAAAAAATGAAGAAATTTCACTTTTAATGATACAAAAACAAAGAAAAAAAACCAAATAAAAGAAAAAGAAATGAAGTGATTAAAATGTAGACCTGGAGAAGGTAAATGTAGTTCACCCCTTTTTTTTGTTTTGTTTTTTTTTTTTTTTTGTTTTTACTTGGTTGGGGATTAGTCGGTATAAAAACCAGAAGAAAAGAGAAGAAACAGGGTAATAGTTCTGAGAACAATAAATACTATAGTACAATTTATCTTCAAAACTTTGGATTAACTTTAATTAATTGTGTCCCTACAATTAAAAAGATCCCTAGTATTTTTTTCCTTAGGGACTTTGCTCGACCATTGGTTCAAGGCATTTTGTTTATGTAAATATTTTGTGATTAAAATACTTATTGAATTTTAAGAGTAGTGATTATACATATATGGAAAATTTTTTAAAAAAATTATTAGAAATGATGTGTCAATTATCAAAATAATACCCTAACCTTAATTATTTAAATCTCAAATGGAAAGTGATAAAGATAAATGGAATTAATTCCTTGTAAAAATTCTCTTCGAAATTTTCACATCGATATCTGGAAGTAGTAGAGAAAAATTATTTAGTCCGAAGACCTATCAACTTGAGATATTAGGTTGAGGTGGGTTTTTACTTATTTATTGAACTCGCTACTGTAACTCTTTGGGCTTTATTGGAATTCTTGACAAGTAGTATCAGTGTGAAAAGTTGGCTAGGCACAGTAGGCTATTTTAGCCTTTGAGAGTTGTACACCTGAATTGACCCATGGGGCACGGTACTCTGGAAGTTGTCACCTTTTCGACTTGGAGTTGTGGGCTTGGTGCAGTTCTAACTGAAAAAAAAAAATGAATTGAACTTTGATGTGATGAGTTACTCTTTTTTTTTTTTTTTTTTCAATTGGATGGTCTCAGCGAGAAATGAACCCTCTACTCCTGATAATAACCATCCGCCGTCCTAATCCCCTAATCATCCTACTCAGTCCTCCCACCGAATGTGGTGAATTACTCATGATAGAGGGAATTGTTGAAATCATGAGTAGGAATAGTTATCCCACATTGATATCTGGAAGTAATACAGCGAGCGATTGTTGATCATGGGTAGGAATAGTTGTCCCACATCGGTGTCTGGAAGAAAATAGAAAGCAATTAGTAAGTAAGTTAGTCTCATAACTTATTTATCGGACTCACTAATGGAACTCTTTGTACCTTATCTTCCGAGCAGGAATTCCTAACATATACTATATACCCATTCTGTCCCAACAAAAAAAGCTCTTGTTTATTGAGCTAAAAATGGTACTTTCAACAAATAGTTCTCTTTCGTTGGAACCAAAGTACTAATCTATCAATATTAAACTCAAGAATTGTTTTATTGTTGCTAAACAAAACTGTAATAGATCGATTAGAAGTGCTTTCTCCGTTGTATACGTGTATGTAGATTTCTCTAACCCACTGATGGATGGATATTATTATGTACTTAAAACTGTTTCCACTTTTCATTGGTAATTTTTTTGGGTCAAATCGCGTAGATCTTATCATATTTAATTTAAGATGTATTAGTTATTAATATATGGTGGGATATAGATATTAGACTTTTAAAGAATCTATAGTCTTCTCTTTTCGGATGTGATCTTCAACGGCCAATTGAAGTAATTGTAAACCATGATAATTAATCACCCACACCTTAAGCCTTTATATAAGTGGTTCATTTGAGATGCGGAATTTAACGAAGATGGAAAACTGAAACCGAACTTACATTGAAGTTAAAATCAAACATACCTGTGAAGTTCAAAAAAATATCTTCAGCCAGATTTCGTCAAGGTGTTTGTCAAGAGAAGAAAGTCGACTATAAAGTCGATAGCACGTCCAATTTTTTTTTTCTTCTCCGATTCTTTTAGGTTTTTGGTTATAAACATTTCCAATCAGTATTTTTCGGTTATAACTGAAATATGAGTATATTTTGATGGATACCAAACAATTGTGACATGCACATTTATTTAACTCTAAGTAATTATCTATTTTAGGGGGAGAAAAAAACAAGAAGTTTTAGAACAAGCCCAAATGGTAATAGGTTTAGGTGTTGCGGCCGTCCCATACCCCTATATATAGGACCCTGGATACGACTTTCGTGAACTGATTTGTGAAGCGTTTGAGTTCTCTCTTTGGTTATTCTTTCGAAGAATAATTATTGCAGAAGTTTGTTTAAAATATGGTGATTCTTTCTTTGTGACTTTAGATTTAGAGCGCACAATTAATTTTCTCCTGGGTTAACTATAACGTGGTATCTTGGAGTTGGAAACCCTTAAAACAGTTCTTCTGTTCTAATCTCTTCCATCAATTTGCTCAAAACCATTATTTAACCCATTGACCGCCACCGGTGTAAGAATTTTCAAGAATGGCCGGACAAGTGAAAAGGCCGACGATCCGCTCTCTCAAGTCAGGGTTTCGCCGGCAACCGCCGAAAGCCAAAGCCTTTCTCGCAGTGATCTCCGGCTTGGCAGTCCTCCTCCTCCTCCGGGCTGTTGTCCAGGATCACGACAACCTCTTTGTGGCTTCCGAGGCCATACACTCGATCGGAATCTCCGTTCTGATCTACAAGCTCGCGAAGGAGGAAACTTGCGCTGGCCTTTCACTCAAATCCCAAGAACTGACGGCTATGTTTCTTGCTGTGAGGCTTTACTGTAGCTTTGTCATGGAAAACGATATACACACTCTACTCGATTTCGCGACTTTGGCCACAACCCTATGGGTTATCTATATGATTCGGTTTAAGCTGAGGTCAAGTTACATGGAAGACAGAGACAGTTTCCCCTTGCATTATGTGCTGATCCCTTGTGCTGTTTTAGCTCTGCTGATTCACCCATTTACGTCTCATAATGCCATCAATGGAATGGCCTGGGCCTTCTGTATCTATTTGGAAGCCGTGTCTGTTCTGCCTCAACTGCGAGTTATGCAAAACCTAAAAGTCGTCGAGCCATTCACGGCTCATTATGTGTTTGCATTGGGCGTCGCGAGGTTTTTGAGCTGCGCTCATTGGGTCATCGAGGTTATGGATGGCCGCGGCCATATGCTAATGCCTTTGGGTTATGGGCTTTGGCCTTCAATGGTGCTTATATCCGAGATTGTTCACACACTCATCTTGTCTGACTTTTGTTACTATCATGTGAAGAGTGTATTTGGAGGGCAGCTTGTGTTGCGTTTACCTTCTCGAGTAGTATAAAACTTCGGGAACAATTTAAGTAGGCTAGCTATTCATTTCAGGAGAAGTTGAAAACTAGTGTTGGTTCCTTTTTTCCGACTGAATGTTAATTTTCACGTTTTTTTTTTTTTTATTTTGGTCGATGGTATTAAGTGTCAAAACTTAAGAAGAGATGCCTGTAAAGTTGGATAATGATTCATAC